TACATTTGTTCTAATGTGATTTATCTCAATATCAAAATATGTGGTCTTCAGCAGGAGGAGCTTATCAATTAATCATGTTACATAACAAAGAGCAATGGCAATACTGAATGTTGCTTTGGAGGCCTGTGGGACCTCTGTGGACAATAACTCACATGGAGGTATCACACATCTAGCTTTGGAAATGGCATTTACAAACCTATGGCTTCGTGTAGTGATATCTATTGTCTCATATACCTCTAATACTATTCACTTTCCATTAAGATGTGTTTTTTCTTCCAGTGGCCCAATTGTATATTCTTGTGCAGGGACTTTATTTTAAACAGAAACTCTGAAGATAGAACCTAGGATCCATATATGAGAAATAACATGGCAGTATTATGTTCTGGGTGGGGCCATGCCTCTCGCTTGATTATTGTGAGAATAATTTATCATAGCAACAGAAATCAAACTAGGACAGCTATAAGAATCAAGCCTCTTTTCCTTGTCTCTCAGAATTGTCTAGATTGCTTGAAGCACCTCTAGACTCAGTGATGACATCTCTACTAAATCTGATTCCATTCTGGCTATGTAACATTATCTTCTCTAAAAATAGGCTATACTTATCTGCATAGAGGTTGGCTATAAAATATTAATATCTCCTCATGGAATACAAGTCCAATACATATCTCATCCAAAGGACTCTTATAACTCTATTTTAGTCAATCAAAAAGTGATGATATTAATATCTCAGATCACAGTTCTGGCAGAATCTTTCTGCTCCACTAGAGGCCAGACAAGATTCCTGAACCCCAGGTAAGATTGCCCCTAACCCTGCCCACACTATCAAGCATAACCCCAACTGCTCCTCCTATCTTCTTCCCAATATCCCAGCCCACACCTCCATCAAAAGCTGCCCACCCCACTAGAGGACAGCCAAGATCCCCGAAAAACAGGTAAGCTACCTCCTCAATGCCACCATTACATGTTTACCTGTCCACAATAACTCTAACTGCCTCTTCTCTCCTCATCATCCTGGCCCACACCTCTATAGGTAACTTCCTATCCTACCAGGAGCCAAGCCAACATCCTGAAATCCAGAGGCCAGGCCAGCTCCCCCAAAACAGGCAGAAGCCTCCTACCCTTTCAAAATCCAGACCAGCATCCAAAACACCAGAACATCTAGGGCTATGTGCCAGCACCAGAGCCCAGAAACACCAGTACAGCAAGTCCTGAATATTCCAATATAGCTGAAACACAAGAAAACAACTTTTTAAAAAACTTCATGAAGATAATAGAGGTCCTTAAAGAGGAAATAAATAAATCTCTTAAAGGAATCGAGGAAAAGGCAATAAAGGTTAATGGGGCATGATGAGAGCTGTTTTAAGAGGAAAGTTTAGAGCACTAAGTGCCTTTATAAAGGAATTGGAGAGATCCCATGCTACTAACTTAAGAGCATACCTAAAAGCTCTAGAACAAAAAGAATTAAATACACCCAGGAGGAATTGACAGCAGGAAATCAACAAACAGATAGATGAAAGTAATATAATAGAAACAAAAAATACAATACAAAGTTTCAATGAAACAAAGAGTTGGTTCTTTGAGAAAACCAACATGATAGGAAAATCCTTATTCAAGTGAACTGTGAAACAAAGAAATAATGTCCAAATTAACAAAATCAGAAATAAAGAGGAAACTGAGGAAACAGATACTGAGGAAATCCAAACAATCATTAGGTCATACTTCAAAAACTTGGACTACACAAACTTGGGAAACATAAAAGAAATGGACAATTTTCTTGATAGATATCACCTAGGAAAGTTAAATCAAGATAAGATTAAACAACTTAAATAGATGCTAACATATACTGAAATAACTATTAAAATCTTCCAAATAAATAAATAAATAAATAAATAAATTAAAGACCAGGGCCAGATGGCTTTCGCACAGAACTTGACCAGATTTTCAAAGAGCTACTGTCAGTACTCTTTAAATTATTCCACAAAATAGAATGGAACATTGTCAGGTTATTCTTTTTTTCTTTTTGAAGCCATAGTCATCCTGACACACAAACCACACAAAGATTCAATAAAGAAAAAGAATTACAGACCAATTTCCCTCCTGAACATTTATACAAATATACTCAATAAAATATATCTAAAGCAAATCCAAGGAAATATCAAAAACATCACCCACCATGATCAAGTAAGTTTTCCCCTAGAGATACAGGGATAGTTCAATGCGCAAAAATAGGTCAAGGTAATCTACCTACTGAAAGAAAAAAAAACATAAACATTTCATTAGATGCTGAAAAAGCCTTTAACAAAATTCAACACTCCTTCAGGAGAAAAGCCTTGGAGAAATCAGGGATGCAAGGGAAATATCTCAACATAATAAAAACAGTATATAGCAAGCCTATAGGCAACATCACATTAAACAGATAGAAATTCAAGGAATTGCACAAAGAGCAAGAACAAGAAAAGGCTGCCCACTTACTCCATACCTACTCAGTATAGTACCTGAAGTCTTAGGTGGAAGAAGAAAAATGAAGGAAATTAGGGAGGGGAGTTACAAATTGAAAAGATAATTCAAGCTTCCTCAGTTGAGAATTCTTTGTTAAGCTATATAGCCCATTTTTTAATAGGGTTGTTTGGTTGTCTGGAGTCTGATTTCTTGAGTTCTTTGTATATATTGGATATTAGCCCTCTATCAGATGTAGGATTGGTAAAGATGTTTTCCCAATTTGTTAGATGCCTTTCCTATTTGTATCCCTTTGACTTCTTTTTGTTGCCTAATTGCTCTGGCTAGGACTTCCAGTACTGTATTGAATAGGTAGGAAGAGAGTGGGCAGCCTTGTCTAGTCCCTGATCTTAGTGGGATTGCTTCAAGTTTCTCTCCATTTAGTTTGATGTTGGCTACTGGTTTGCTGTATATTGCTTTTCCTATGTTTAGGTATGGACCTTGAATTCCTGATTTTTCCAAGACTTTTATCATGAAGGGATGTTGAATTTTGTCAAATGCTTTCTCAGCATCTAGTGAGATGATCATGTGTTTTTTTTCTTTAAGTTTGTTTATATAGTGGATTACATTGATGGGTTTCCGAATATTGAACCATCCCTGCATTCCTGGGATAAAGCCTACTTGATCATGATGGATGATTGTTTTGATGTGGTCTTGGATTCGGTTTGCTAGAATTTTATTGAGTATTTTTGCAACGATGTTCATAAGGGAGATTGGTCTGAAGTTCTCTTTCTTTGTTGGGTTTTTGTCAGGTTTGGGAATGAGTGTAATTGTAGCTTCATGGAATGCATTGGGTAGTGTTCCTTCTGTTTTTATTTTGTGGATTAGTTTGAAGAGAATTGGTATTAGGTCTTCCTTGAAGGTCTGATAGAATTCTGCACTAAAACCATCTGGACCTGGGCTTTTTTTGGTGGGGAGACTTTTAATGACTGCTGTTATTACCATAGGGGTTATGTGACTGTTTAGATGGTTTATTTGCTCCTGATTTAACTTTGGTACCTGATATCTGTCTAGGAAGTTGTCCATTTCATCCAGGTTTTCCAGTTTTGTTGAGTATAGGCCTTTGTAGTAGGATCTGATGATTTTTTGAATTTCCTCAGTTTCTGTTATTATGTCTTCCTTTTCAGTTCTGATTTTATTAATCTGGATACTGTCTCTGTGCCCTCTGGTTAATCTGGCTAACGGTTTATCTATCTTGTTGATTTTCTCAAAGAACCAGATCCTGGTTTTGTTGATATTTTGTGTTGTTCTTTCTGTTTCTATTTGGTTCATTTCAGCCCTGAGTTTGATTATTTCCTGCCTTCTACTCCTCTTGGGTTTATTTGCTTCTTTTTGTTCTAGAGCTTTTAGTTGTGCTGTTAAGTTGTTAGTGTGTGCTCTCTCCAGTTTCTTTTTGTAGGCACTTAGAGCTATGAGTTTTCCCATTGGAGGTTTCCTCCATGCCTTCATGGAGTCCCACAAGTTTTGGTATGATGTGTCCTCATTTTCATTAAATTCTAAAAAATCTTTAATTTCTTTCTTTATTTCTTCCTTGACCAAGTCATCATTGAATAGAGAGTTGTTCAGTTTCCATGTGCATGTGGGTTTTCCATTGGTTTTGTCATTATTAAAGACCAGCCTTAGTCCGTGGTGATCTGATACGATGCAAGGGATTATTTCAATCTTTTTGTATCTGTAGAGGCCTGTTTTGTGACCAATTATATGGTCTATTTTGGAGAAGGTACCATGAGGTGCTGATAAAAAGGTATATTCTTTGTTTTAGGATGAAATGTTCTATAGATATATGTTAAGTCCATTTGGTTCATAACTTCTGTTAATTTCAAAATGTCTCGGTTTAGTTTCTGTTAGCTTCTAATTTTTATCTTTATGTACTCATGAGACTATGAGTGTGTGTAGAAAGCCACCCACAAAGGAAAAAGGGAGCATTCAGGAAGATAACTAGGAAGGCAATGGAGCACAAGGTATGGAAGTGCAAGGGGACTACTGAAAACAGTAAGTTTTATGTCAGAATGGGAAACACGTCAATGGTAGAGGGTATAAGCTTGGGAACGCATCAACCAAAATTAAGTATGTATGAAACTGCCATAGAAAATCCTGCTACTTTGTTAGCTAGTTTTCAAAAGTTAGAAAACAAATATTTCTTATTGAAAGATTTTAAAAGTAAAGAAGACACAGTGCTGTAGAGTTGATGGTTGTCTTTATGACACGACATGTGGCAAGTCTCATGGCCATGTATTTGTCTTCCAACTCAACAAAATATGCACATTAATAGTGTGTACATTGTTGTATAACCATCGGCATATAAGAAGGTAAAATATTCCAAAAGTGGAAAATGTTTCAACTAAACCAGTAATGCGCCTTTCCCATCAGGATTACAGGGCTTTTTTTACTGTTAAAATATTTTCCCAGTCAATAAAGACCTCTTTCTTCTTCCTAATAAATCCCACTATATAAAGAATAGAAATCGAATCTCTCCACTGGGTGTTCTATGATCTATGTCAGTACTAGCTGCTGTACAATAGGTTTGCATGCAGGCTGCAGGTGCCTGGGGAGCACTGTGTGCTCACTGCACAGAAGTAGAGAGCAGAGTCACCAGGACGGGAGTCTCTGATGTGCAGGGAAACACGTAGGCTGGCTTTATTGAGGTGAACTGTGAATCTGCCTTCTTTCTTGTTGCCATCAGAGAATATGGATATCAGTGCCTTCGGGACTTTCGAAGGATGCTGTTGGTACCACCAGAAGGACTGAGAAGCACTGCTGCTAAAAGTGCAGTTGAGAAAGGTCATGTCTCCCTCTGGGACAATGACAGATTCTGGATTCTGTTGCACCTTCTGCTGGCTGCTCACCCCTGTAAAGAAAGATAAAAGTCAGACAATCAAGACTAGGTACATATGGGTACTAACATTATAGAATGACGATTCCGTGGGCTTCGCACTTCCTAACTAGAGATTTAAAACATCTGTGTTTCTAACATTAGCCTGGAGCAGGCAATAACTTTATATATCACACCTAGATTCCAAAGGAATTTCAAAACTTACAGTTTAACTGCAACCACAGGATGACTAGTGAAACACTCAAAGATTTCATTCTCTCCTCCTTCCTCTTCACTGAGGACTGAGATCCTCAACTCTAAGTTGACAACTAAAAAAGAGACTCTTTTCGTGATCTCAGCAGCACCAAGCCTTTTGTCCAGCCCTTTCTCTACCTACTCCTCCTCTTCCTGTACCCTTCTTCTCCACCCCACCCCACCCCATACCACGCCGTGCTCCACTTCTCTCCCTCTTGAGATCTTTGCTCAGAATCCCAAAGAAAACACTGCCATCTTGTGGACTCACGAAAGTGACCAAGAAAAGATTCAAATTGCAAAGTATTCTAACTTAGCTAGTAAAAAGTAAAGCACTTGAGAGTTTAGTTGGAGTTTTGAAGAGACATTTGCTCCAAGTCAGGATGGAAAGAAAGGTGAGCTCATGTGTTCACACTTAGCAGATGTTACCCTTTTTCTATGTAATAACAGGTTTCACACATAAGCAGTCACCTGCACTAAAAAATCCTCTTTGAAAAGTCTGCAATGGAAATCTGCATGAGGCTTTTTGTACAGCATAACTTTAACCCTTGTCACCACATACATCCCCATTCAAAGCTATCCTCAAGTTTAGTTTTTGTTTCTCAGATTTTTATTCATTCTTTGTGAGTTTCATATCATGTGCCCCGATTCCATTCATCTCCCTGATGCTTTGTATCCAGCTTCCTCCCTTGTAACCTCCCTTCCCCCACAAATGCAAAATTAAAAAACAACAAACAAAACAAAATCTCGTTGTGCATATACTGTGTAACACAGTGACACATCTTCAAGCTTTAAAGATGGCTTGCTCATGCTGTTTATCTAGGTCAAAGATAGAAAGGCCTGGAATTCTTTATTGCATTTGGAGCCAGGACCAAGCTTATGTGTAAACAGAACTTTACTTCACTCAGTACAGAAGATGAAGCTAAGTGGAATGCCTAAACTCTAAATAAAACCTAGGGAACTTGTTCATTTCTCTAATTAATTTTTCCCTAATCTTGATTAAGTTTTGCTGAGTGGAATTGATCTGTGAAAGTTCTAGATCTGCTTTCTTTCAACCTCCCACTTTCTGACCGCTCCCCTTTCCACCTCTACCCTTCCTTCCTTCTCTCTCTTCTTCCCTAACCCTTTCACTTTATCCGACTCTCCACTTCTAACATAGTCATCAAACCGTATATACCAGAGGAATATCTATGCCAGAGCTTAGGTAGGTTCACATAGAAACAAGTCAGGAAACAGACTTACTGCAGGACTCTGTGAGATCTCCACATCCGGAAAAGTAAACATCTGTGGAAACAAGAAGGAAGTTTGGATCAACACAAGTAAGTAGCAAGTGTTGGTTCATACTTTGGTAGTTTGAAATTGAGTGGATTGTTTTAAGGTATATATAAGTGCAACCCAACTTGATGAAATCTTTTATGCTGATAATTAACTCAATCTTTGTATACACAATGAAGCATCCTTTACTCTCCCCAAGAAAGAAAATAAACTAAATAAAGATTGGACAAGACAAAATTGAAAATCCGGGTAAATTAAGTACATGAGGCACCCTCCATAAAGATGGGTTCAATAAAAGTAATGTTGAGGTGGAGGTGGCTAGAGAGGTGGATCAGAGGTTAAGAGCACTGATTGCTCTTCCAGAGGTTCTGAGTTCAGTTCCCAGCAACCAAATGGTGGCTCATAACCATTTGTAATGTATTCAATGCCCTCTTCCGGCATGCCTGAAGACAGCGACAGTGTACTCACATACATAAAATTTAAAAAAATAAATCTTTTTTTAAAAAAACAAGCTTAGGATAATGGTGGGGATGAGGGTGGGGATTGGATGGCTGTGGTTCTGGCCACACAGACAATGCAAAGGTAGCCAAGCTATTAACCACATATGCTCCTAGATTTCTGGACTAATAACAGATTACGCAACTCATGAGCAAGACTAACAAGTAGAATGAATCAATAGAAGATAGAGTATCAAGGCTCAGAGATTGAAAAGAATATGAGAGAAATTTCAAACTCAAGAAAGGAACATGCAAGAACAGTAGTACAACATAAAAAGTATACATCTGATAGATAGGGCATGATAGTTAAGCACACCTACTGCCCTACCAGAGGATCCAGCTTCAACCCCTAGCTCCCATATGATTGCTCACAACCTGCTCTACCTCTACTTTTAGGGAATCTGAAATCTTCTTCTGGACTCATCAGATACCAAGCACATACATACACAGACACTTGTAGGTAAAACATATACACATAAAATAACAATAATTAATGTTGTGGTTTGGTCTTTTGTTATGTATTGTAGTGCTAAATACTAGACCCCAAGTCCTAGTTGATCTCAGAGATTCCTCACATGCAATGTGACCTTGTTCCTTAATTTAAACTATTAGTGAAATAAAGATTCTGACAGTCAATAGCTCTGCAGAAGAGACCAAGACAGGGTTTGGGATTCCTGGGCTTGGGGTCAGAAAAGAATTACAGGAGGAAAAAGAAGGTGGAGAGAGAAGAAGACACCATGGGATAAGAATCTTGATATCATGGCCATAAGGGTTGGACAACTGGAGTTAAGAACATCCCAGACAGTAATGGAAAATTATATTATGGTTTACTGTCAGAGAAATAGATATAATAGCAAAGATGGTACCTATCTGCCCAGCTCTAGTGCTGTATAAGGTTTATTATAATGATAAAAGTTGCATGTTTTTTATCTGGGAACTGAATGATCTAAGGAGAGGTAGAAGTCCATGATTGAGATTAAATAATTTCTACAACAAATAATACAGTAAAAAACTATGTCTTCAAATTATGGGCATTAATGGAGAAGAATCTCAGGTCAATGGCATAGAATCCCTCTTCAAAATGATCATAAAAGAAAACTCCTTATCCTAAGAAAAACACACCCACATAGATACAAAAAACAACACATAAACAAGAAAATAAAAGAAACACCCACAGAATATCATAGTTAAAACACTAAACATTCAGAACTAAGGAAGAGTATTGAATGTTTCAAGAAAAAATAATTTTATATAAAGCAAAGCACATCAGAACAACACGATTTCTCAATGGAAACATTAAAAGCTATCAGAGACTAGAGCAATGTATGCCAAGTTCTAAAGGACTATACATACCAACCTAAACTACAGTACCCCGCATAGACTATCTGCCATAGTTGAAGGGGCAAACGCCATACGTGATACAAACAGGCTAAAGGAACCCATGTTCATGAGACCATCCATACAGAGAATACTAGAAGGAATACTTCAGGATGAAGACTTAGCCAACAAACTCTAGACAGAAAACAAATGGAGTGATAATTACTAAAGCACACAGAACAACTAAGAATGCAAACAGTAAAGACATGAGACCATCCATACAAAGAATACCAGAAGCAATACTTCAGAGTAAATGGACGTATAAACATTGCATAAAAACTATAGGAAGAAAACATATGGAGTGATCATTACTGAAGCACAAAGAACAACTAAGAATGCAAACTGTAAATATACAACAAAATTGACTGAACTAATATACACCTTTCAATAATAAACCAGACCTAGAAAGACAAATGTCTCATTTTCTCTCTGATCTATTGTTCCTAGCTCAAAATCTTCAGATGTGAGTTCTAAACTGACCTACACATACCAGGAAAGTAAACGAGCTCCAGAGAGGGGAACAGCAGGAAATAGAAGATATAAAGGAGGAGATGGAAAAGAGGAGGAGGAAGGGAGGAGGAGGAGGAGGGAGATTTAAAAGGGGGAGGAAAAGGGAAGTCAATAAAGAAGGAGAGAGGGTAAAGAGAGACATACAAAGAATGTTTGATAAAGTCTCAAGGAATTGTATTATTTCATGTTCACCTACACACATACACACACATACATACATACATACATACACACACATACACACACACTTGTGTGTAAGTTCTGCCAAGTAGATTGACAATGCTCTCCACAAGAGCCATAGACAATCTACCTAACAAAAACACTGTTTGATTATTTTTTGTTTTTAAAGGATTTGTATTTTTCTTATTTATTCTTCTCTCCCATATTACATCCTGACTACAATTTCCCCTCCCTCTTCTCCCATTATCCCACAACCTCCCCTCTCCCCAAGATCCACTCCACCTTGGATGACCTTCAGAAGAGAGAGGGCCCTCCAGTTATATTAAACCAAACATGACATAAAGAGTTAAAATAAGACTAGGTACATAGCATCATATCAAGGATGGACAAGGCCCAGTAAGAGGAAAAAAGTCCCAAGGTCAGACAAAATACTCAGACACAGATCATGCTCCCACTTCTCAGAGTCCTAGAAAAACTCCAAGTAAATAAACATATTTGCTAAGAATCTAGGGAAGACCCATGCAGGCTCTGTGACGGTTGCTTCAGTCTCTGTGGGCCCCCAACAAGCTCTGGTTAATCAATTCTGTGGCCCATTTTCTTGTGGTGTTCTCAATTCCTTTAGCTCCTACAATCCTTCCTCCATTTCTTCTTCTGTAGGATTCCCAGGACTCTGCCTAATGTTTGCCTGTGAGTATCTGCATCTACTCCTATCTGTGACTGATAAAACCTCTTTGATGGCAATTATGTTAGGCTCCTGTCTACAAGTACAGCAGAATCATTTCATTGCCTTTTTTTCCCCCTCCAATCATATCTGGTCTGTTTTTCTGTCCTAGATCTCTTTGTTATCCAGCTTCTGTGACCTGGCCAGCCCTCCAGGCCGTATCAGGTATGAGCTCCCTCTCCTGACATGGGACTAATGTTGGGCCACACATTGGTTGGCCACTCCCACTTCTGTGCCATCTTTACCCCAGCACTCCTTGCAGGCAGGACAAACTGTAGGTCAAAGTTTTAGTGGCTGGGTTGGTGTCACAGTCTCTACACTGGAAGACTTGTCTGGCTATAGAAGATAATCAGTTCAGGCTCCCTATCCCCCATTACTAGGAATTCTCACTAGGATCACTTGCACAGATTCTAAGGAGCTTCCATTGCGCTAGGTCTCCACCTAACCATTGAAGAGCCCCACAACTCCAGTATATTTCTCCCAGCATCCTCTCCCTGCATCAGTTCCCGCTAGCC